GCAGGGCAGGACCGCGGCGGCAAAGCACGCACTGCAGCACCACCGGGGCCTTCTCCACGTTCAGCGCGTTGAACTTCTCCACTATGTTGGACAGCTTGTGGTTCTTCTCCAGGCTGGGTTTCTGGCTGTAAGCGTGGTTGCACTCCGGACACCGGACCATCCCCCCTTCCTTAGCCCAGGCCTCGTTTATACACACGCGGCAGAAGTTGTGTTTGCACGGCAGCTGCACAGGTTCGGAGAACACATGCAGACAAATGGGACATATGAGCTCTTCCTCCAGACAGTTCTTCCAGTTGTCTGCCATTTCGGCTTCTTGCTTTGCGAGTTTCCTTCCCCCCAAACCCTCTACAGCTCCGTTCAAGTGCTCATGAGAAACTATAGGCTAGTGACTTTTGTGAAGTGCTCAGACGAGAATCCACGATTCCTCTGAACCCTTGCAGTGAGATCAGTGAGATCCAGCTCCTCCCTCGCCCACTGAATGAAAAGTACAACGGGAAGTCTCTCTCTCTCTCACACACACACACACGGCCTGCTGCTCTCACAGCCTCACACAGGCTGTAAAGTTTGCTATGCTGGAGGAAGACCGGGCTGCAGCGGCTGTACAGCAGACTTGAGGCCACATTTCATCACCCAATACTTACGAATCCCTGTGTGCCACGGGCGTCAGAGGAGCCTATAATGGGCTTATAATGTGTGCTTCTTAATGTTTACAACGTATAACCAGTCTCTGCTCACGCTCTCCAGCTAACGGTATGGCTGCTACCAAAGTTGTACACGACGGCTAGAAAACTAATCCGAGGACCAGACCGATCTGAACCTGAATCTGAATGATGTGCCCTGTCTGTCAGCTCTTCCCCTCCTCGGAGAAGGCACGTCTCTTTTTCAGAGTAATGTTAATACTGCGATTTACTCCAAACTACCGACCGTTTACTGAAAGAATCGGCTTATCCGAATGATCTGGTTTCCGTTCACAAACAGGAGGCTAATCCATAAAAACACAGTCTGACAATCACTAATAACAGACAGAACCGCCCTTCTTCGTTCTCATTAATGAGACGGTGACAGTGTCGCTGTTACCAGTAAAATCTGTGTCTTGAGTTACTTTCATTTTACTGAAAATACCAACGCAGGGAAGCAGGTCGAGCAGCAGGCTAGCTTATGCTAAACTCTTAACTGCCTCGCTAATGAACGTTACAGCTCCTGTGAGGATCGCGAACACACGAGCTACATTTCCCATCATCACAACAAAGAAATTAAAGAAATCCACACACGGAGTTGATTCGCTATCAACATCCGATAAAGGATAAAAAACAAAAACAAAACAGGACTAGTCGGTCTCTTCACTTTTCTTTAAAAATCGGCCCAAAAAGCTTCACCAAAGCAATCTGGCTGTAAGCTAATGTTATGCTAGACCAAACGGACTGATCTGCCATACCGAGCTAACCAGCTAGTGCTGTAACCTACTTTGATATCACAGTCCTGCTGTGAGGAGACGAGACCGTGTGTGTCCTTTTATTTGTATCCAGCGAAAAAAAATACTAAAACAAATGTGAAGTCAGGGCACTAACTGTGCCGCAATGTGTCCAATTCCGAAACGCATCCTAAATATGTGGGGAATCCTTCACATTTTAAAGGGAACGGCGCCGTCCTGTCCTTGTTATTCGCTCCTGTCATCTGCCATCTTGCGTTCCTCTTTAAAAAAGAAAAAAGAAAACGTCCGTGGCCAAACGAAGCCTCTTCGCGTTTTTCTGCCCACAGGCCATCAAAGGGGGGCTGTGAGAGAGAGCGTTTTCTTCATGTCCTCCGATCTGTCGCGCTGAACTTCTGAGATTGTCCGTCCATGGATCGCTCTTCGACACCGCTTCTATCTGACCATGCTATAATTTATGATCTCTCCCTCCTCCTCCTTTTCCTCCTCCTCCTCTTTTTTCAGGCAGGCTTTGATGAGAGGAGGAATGCAGGCACAGGATTGAGTTTGAACACACCGAGCTCTCTCTCTCTCCCTCCTCCTTACAACAGCCACTCCGCCAGTCACGTGACCCCTCCCGGCCGCGACACAGAAAGAGGAGGGGCTTACGAAGGAAGAGGCGGGGTTATATTTAAAAGGGCAACCACATGGCTTAGCAGTGGTGGTTTAAGAGAACGCTATAAAGAAACCGTTGTTGCGCCCTAGTTAATTCACAGATGGAGCAGAATCTGAGATACTCTGTACGTCCAAAAGTGTCCAGACACTCCTTCTAATTACATAGTTAAGCTTACTTTAAGGTTCATCCATTGCACGCACAGCTTGTAAAGAGAAAAGCTATTGACAGTCTGGAGAAGCCACACATAAGCCTAATGCCAAGATCAGTTAGAGGGGTATAAAGCCTCTCTGCACTGGGCTGTGGAGCAGTGGGACTGTGTTCTCTGGAGTGATGGAGCACCATACAATACCTTTGGGATGAGTTGGAGTGGCATTTCTGATCCAACATCAATACCTAACCTCACTAATGCTCTTGTGAATGCCACCAAATCCTCACAGCAATATACCAACATCTAGTGTAAAGCCTTTCCAGAAGAGTAGAAGCTGATACTGCAGCAAAAAGAGGGACAAACTCCTTATTAATACCTTTGATTGGAGAAGAAAAGTTGGATGAGTGGGTGTCATATATAATCATATATATGGTCACTTTTGTTCAAGCATATTACTGCATGCAATGAATGAGGATCTATGGATCTGCAGTGTCATCATGCAATAGAGGACAACAGTAGTGGAAGTGAAAGATAAGTCAACTGGATGAAAACTGAAAAAACATTTTTAAAATAGCTTAGAAAATGCAAGATATCATTCATACTTTTGGGGTCTGTGACAGAGAGTCTGATATGGATTGGGAGTTTCAAGCTCAAACAGCAAGAAATTCCAAGGAGAACTGAGAATTGTTTGGCTGTATGACAGTTTAATGTTAAGCATAGAAAGAGAAGAAGCAGTACAGCAGTTAAGTCTTTTCAGTAAGTAAGGAGAGGATGTATGTTTTACACAGTCTATGCCATTTACAGGCCCCACTGCAAACATCGCTGACTGTATGTTGTTGCCCCTTTAAGACAATTAGCAATTATCATTCCTCAAAATGTGATCTAAAGGTAATTAGGCAGGACTGTTTTTTTTTTTCTGATCCATGCTTATTGTTTGAGATTTGAGATGTCAGATGTTGAACCCTTCCCTCTACACAGTTACAGCATTTATGTTTACACTGGACAGGGATTACAGCTGCTGGGCATCTACTCATCTACTTGGTATTTTCTAGCTCAGGTGGAATTCTGGGAAACTGGCTGGAAAGACTTATTTGAACCACCTTCAGATACACTCTTTAAGAGAACTTCCACTGGTGAAGTGGATTGGGGGGAAAGACAGTGGCCCACAATGGCTGCAGTCTGAACTGAGTTAATGGCTTAATCATGTAGGCCTACAGTATAAAAGAGGGGATTTTAGGGGACCAAACCATTCTTTGTTAAAAACCAGGACTTGAAGGTTGATATATAATTGTTTGTTTCTTTTGATCCATACATTCTCTTTTGTTGCCTGAGTACAAATCTAAGGAATATTACCTGTGTCCGTTTCCCATCACACAACAAAACAGTGAATGTAGATGGAGTTCTCTTTAGCTTGTGAGGACACATGATTACCCAAGTAAATCTAGCATGAACCATAAACACAAATTACAGTAGCAACAACGGAGGAGCTTCCTGGAATGGTACAGTTCACTCTGACAAAGTGTGATCACAGATTTGCAACCATAGCACCCTACCAGTGGAAAAATGCATGATTATCACTTTAAAGCAAGCAGAACAAATTCAGTGAGATTTTATCTTAGCATACAAAATTTAGCTGGGTTTAGTTGGTTATGATAACCGTTTGTATTTTTTTACATCTGCTCTGTAAATATTTACTCACCCGCCAACCGCCCTTAGTGTATTAACTTGGGAGATGTTGGATTTAATGTAATGTTGCATAACTCATATAACATAAAAGCTTATGGAACTTTCAAGTCATCACATCACATTATCACAGCACATTTTGAGTCAAGTTTAAAGAGGCAGGTAAAATTAGAGCTATAGTTGTTATAAGGTGCACAGTGCAGCCACTATGCCCCATATATCGCACGGGCCCAGATAAGGCCCGTGACACAATTTTATATGACCCGTGAAATTATTTTAATTTTCTATTAATATTAGTCTGTTTCGCAATGCCCTGTACTACTGTATGGGACTTGCAGCAAGGAAAATATGCCAGGTGTCTAGTTCATGCAAATATGTAGGTTTAAAAGACCTACCTCCTGGTGACATTTATTTATTTTTTAGAAATTCAATATTTTTAACATGTATTTCTGTTAACTGTGGAAATAAGTGTCCTGCCTCTAATGTACCTTTTGTTTTATCTTTTTCTTTATCCTACCATAGAGTATATTCATCCAATTTTTAGTTGTACAACTCAGAGCTGCAGTCGTCCCAATGAACAGTAATTTGTACTGTACGGCAGTTATACTGCGTAGTATTTCATTAAACTGCAGAAATGCTTAGAATTTCTGCATTTCTGTTTTTTAACTGTTTTTAATACTAGCAACCTAGTTGACCATTTATCTAATTTCATCAAAGGGGCTAATGATGTTATCAAGCATTTTTTGGAATTTTTAGAATCAATATTATTTTACTTTGCACACTGGCTCAGCTAGCAAATTTTATTTTTTTTTATTTAGGTTTCAAATGAAGGCTGATAGCTACTAACTGGTTTGTAATATTGTGCATAGTTATTAGCTGTGTTATTAGTTATTAACAGCTAACTGGACTATATTTTCAGTGGTACCCATGTACAGCTGCTCATATAATTTTTTTCTATTAAAAAAACTTGTTTTATTTAAAATTCTGTCCTGTGAAAATTGTACGGCTTTTTTTCTAAGCTACATTACATCATTATGTGCATTCTGCTTATTGCAACCTATACAGAAATGACAGACACCATCAAATAAAGTATGCAATGAATTTATACCGTTTCATCCTTTTCTACAAAACATATGTTGATATATAGTGTAGACCAGGAGCGTTGAACCACTAGTATTAAATGGAATTTATTTTGCAGATATCAAATTTCCTGAGTCACAAAAATCGTCTCCTTGAATTTAAATAGCAGAAACAGTAAAAAGAACTGTGGGTACCAAAAAGGTAAACATCAGTCTCTGACAATGAAACGTTCAGTACTGGAAAATGTTTTCCTTTTGTGGAAGAGGGATGACACAGAAGCTGTACAAATGAGTTAATGCCTTAGAAATGGAACTTCTGTGTAAATATTTGAAAATTAAGTCTTCTTTACACAAAAGTACTTCCATCTTGAGAGATTTCATCTGTGTAACTGCAGTAACTACCCCAGAATATAATTATCTCTGACAGATTAGCCAAGTTCACAGTTATCATGCTCTACTATAATCTGTGTGAAATACTTGGTATAAAAAATATATACTTTTTTTTTAATTTTGAAGACAAAATAAGCAAGAAAAGGTGAGAGTAAACAGTTCCTAAAATTACAGTACCACTAAATTCACTGGCAACAAAATAACTGATGCAACAAATTACTCTAACTCTTCCACAGAGGCCCATGCAGATATTACATCAGGTCAAAAAAAATGTAGGCTTGGTAGGTAATGCATTGTTCAATTCAGTTGTACTGTACAGACAAAGTGCAGTCAAAGGGGAAGAGATACTACTCTTCAATATGGTCCCACACCACATGATTGTTTTAACAGTTCATATTTGGTCCCTAGGTCAGTTTATAAATATACACATGCAGAAAAGTTTCTTCTCGTAAGAAAATAAGGCGGTTTTCATTAAGATCTCTCTGTCATAGAGTCCTTGTACACTGAGAAGCGACATCAGCCATCAGTCTCCATCCTGAGTCAGTGTGAGGCAGTGAGGAACGGGGTGGGCAGTATCAGATGGCCTTCACGTCTATAAGGTGACCATGGTGGGCATCCTGTCTCAGGGCTTTGATGCTTTGTAATCTGCGGCCATGGAGGCTGAAGCGAGACCAGACCAGTAGCTGCAGCAGGGCACAGGTGATGGGCACAAACACCAGTAAGTAAAAGCAGCCCTGGCGCAGTGGCACAGGGCTTTCAGCACCTGAGATGGCCACAGCTGCAACAGAGTCCTTAATAGGATCCCGCTGAAAGATGTCATAGCCTAGAGACAAAGAAAATGAGCAAGAACCATGAAGATGAATTCTTCTCTCACTTTTAGTTCAATAATAAATGTTACGCTGCTGAAATTAAATATATTAAGAAAGAAGAAGAAAATAAATGGGGGAACCAACACTTTACTTGAGATGCACAACTCATTTTAACTCATAGCTACTTAAAATGAAATGAAGTGAGTGGTGCATTTCAATTAAAGTTCACCCATGAATAAAGAAACCCATGGCATAATTAACAAGCTTCGGAAGGCTTTTTAGAGGAACGATATAAGGCAATAATATGGCTGATATGCAGCAATAAAGTAATACAAATAGGGTAAGGAAAAAAAGGATGTAAAAAGAGTCAGACTTTCACTGCAAAGATCGAATGCTGCATACTGATCATAAACAAACACACACACCTGTGTATACACACAGCAGCCAGGTGCCAATGAGGGGGGCAAAGGTCTGACCAGGTTTTGTTACCAAAGCAACCATCCCAAACAGTAGCGCAGAGGCGGCGTGCTGTCGTCGGTTCATTACAAAGTCCTCATCAACCAGGTCTGTGATTACCAAGTTCAACAGCTTACAGGTCCCCTCCGTAAACACTCGATTACTGTAGAGACAGGTTCATATAAAGGACCTGATCAGTAAAGGTTTTAGACAAAAGGCCTGTGTGGCCTGTGCAAAAGTTTTATACAAACACACACACACACACACACATATATTTATTAATTATGCACTAAAATCTGGAAAAAATGTCATTTATGTTTGTTCTCTGAAGAAGATGTTTAAACTTTTTTTCACTTAGAAAATAAACAAAGCATGTGATTAAACTGGGGGTGTTCAAACTTCTTCAAACAACTGTGTGATCAAAGGCAAAATATGATTGTGTTTGTGTGTGTACATATACACACACACACACACACACACACGTGTGAAAGTGATATTCAGTTCTCACCTGGCGATAAACAGGCAGAGCAGATACACCTGGTCTGCTCCTGCCAGCAGCATTGCTATACTAAGACCCAGCTTCAAGATAAAAAGCCAACGGATAACCTGGTAGACGCCCACTCTTCGGCAGAGTGTCAGAAAATAAAGGTTGTTGAGATGGGGTGCTATGTAGGAGATACCTGTAGTTAACAGAAAAAAAACAAACAAACAAAAAACACAGTACTTAATGTCCTAGACATTATGCTGAACAGATGAAGTGGAATTATTTTAAATTCTTAAAATGTTAAATCATTTAAGAAATGATGTCCCATTATGTCCCATAGTCATGCATAGTTCAGGCATGTCAAACTGGGGACTTTCTGGGCCAAAGTGCAGAGATTAACATTTACCCTCACCTAACACTCTGAATTCAGTTCATGAAGGCCTTGCTAATTAGCAGATGAGCTGAATCAGGTGTGTTTAATGAGGCAGTGTGCTAATGTCTGCAGTGTCTTGGCCCGCAAGGACTGGAGCCTGACATATGTGGCATAGACTGTCTGTTCAAAATACGGTGGAACTATTTTGAGAGGGACCCCTAAGGTTGTTGAGACAGAAAAACACAACAGAAAAACCAAGACACAGTACTTACTGTCCAATAAAATTTACAAAAGCAATAGCTAGTATGTTTTTTTGGTTTTTTTTTAATTACAATCGATTGTTGTCAATACTAGACAGTGAAATTTTAATAACAATGGCTACTGTGTAGCCATTGTTATTTAAAATAACAATTTTAATAATAACAATGGCTACACAGACAAGGTTAGTGTCACAAGTAATATTCATTTGCTGAAGTCTGCCTTAATTTGGCAAATGCTCAAGAATGGCCACATGCTCATACCCAACAGAAAAGAGCCAGTGGATGCAGAGATCCGGTCTGATAGGAGGTGTTCCAGGAATAGAGGGAAGAAGTTACTGTTGAAGTGGCAGTGAAATACCTGCAGAAAGGACAGTAGAATAATATCCAGCAATTCTGTGAGAGTGATCACAAAAAAAAAACAAAAAAACAAAAAAAATACAGTAACAGTTAGTAACAATATTTACCTGTACAAGGTTCATTGAAACAAACCAAAGGAAGTTTCTGTGGCGTGAGAGCTGCTTCAGATACTGTCCAAGAGTGACAGGCTTCTCGGTGGAGGCATGAGGTGCATGGCCAACAGACAGTCTAAGATACAGATGATACAGAACAACAGAAATAAAAATAGAAAATGAGAGAGCAAATGGGAATAGGGACTGAAACAAAGACAGAGCCAAATAGTCAGAATAACAGGATGCAACTGAAAAGGCAATTTCAATTGCTCTCATAGTGAGAAGCTCACAAGGGACTGAGACAACTTTGCAACTGGAGAAACCTTTTCTCATATATCTGCCTGCTAGACTGACTAAGAGCCTTTCTGCTTCTCTGCAAATTGCTTACAATTCAGGTACAAAGAGGCTCCTCTCTCATTACACCAAACAAAAGCAAACTATAAACTTACAGCAATAGCACAAGTGAGTAAAGTGGCAAAAGTGAGTTACTGCAGCAGTACAACGAACTTGGTTGTCCTTAGCAAACAGATACAAAAAATACAAAGTTTCAGAAACAATTTTCTTCACAACAGATTCCACAGTTTTCACATTTTTATATGAATATCTTGCAAAAACTTTCAGGTTAGCCAGAAAAAAGTCTATAACAAATCCATAAGTGTAAGTTACAATCACTTGCAGTACTCAGACCTCTAGAAAACACTTCTTTACTTTTTTCTGATCTGCAGCCAGGTCCTGTATTGTGTATAAACAGTTCTACTGACCAAGCTGCATGAAACCGCATGAAAATACTAGTAATTATATTGAAGGATTTGTAGTAATGTTTGTTAACATTTTTTATTAGCATTAAATTGCAGCAATCCAAGCTACCAAGTCATCAATTTTGCTCAACAAAAATGCAAAGTTTTAAAAGTAAACATACTCTTTGAGCAATTCCTCTTCATTCTTGTGTGATCGGATCTCGTTCTGGAACCTGCGGCGCAGCAGCCGAGACACCACGGCAAAGCCAATCATTGACAAGGCAGCCAGCACTACACAGAAGAGCCTAAAGGACATGAAATCTTCCTTGTCCCAGAAAGAGTACGAGAGGAAAACGGACAGTGAGCCTAGTGCGCTGAACAACGAGGTGTGGAAGTTGAGGCGTGTGCGGTCATTTGCAGACACAGCCAGGTCAGCCAGCAGGGCATTATGGTTCAGGTCCACCAGTGTGAGAAAACCATCATAAAGGCACAGGCAGATGAGGAACTGCAGACCAGGGTGGGCCCAAGCCACCCAGAAGGCCAAGAAGGAAAGAGCAAAAAGTGGCCCATTCCTGGAGAGAGACTGCAGTCGCTTTAGCACCACCTCAGGCGTGGAGATCTGAGATCCAGACCTGAGCAATCAAACAGAGGGAGAACATGCATTATGCAGAGCAATTTTCCTTTCCATTTTGGGGAAACAAATGAAAAAAAAGAGATGCATTTCTTTATCATTCTAATTCAGGTTTGGAATACATTCAAATATTTGGTACTGTTCTATAAATATTGAGAAAGAATAATAAGTGTGTAGTAGAAGTCTTACTGATGAGAGCTGAGGAAGGTGCGGTCACTTAGCCAGCCAAACAGGGGGTCATTCAGGCTATTCCATATCAGAAACACAGTCTGTGTGAACAAACAACAAGGAGTTCATGTCATCTGCGAACTAACACTGAACACTGACAACTGCTGTCGTTCACATGATAATAAAAATAATAATAACCAAATACTATTCCTAATAATGATACAAAAGTAGCACTGTGTGGATGCTGGATGGTCTGTTGGGTATATGTCTACACACATAACTGTCTACAACAGACAAACTCACCTCGCCCACCCAGAATGAAACTTTGTCGATCTTGTACACGGACACAAACGTGTCCACATAATAAAGCAGGAAGACATTATGGAGGATGGAGACAAAAAGCGACAGGGAGCCATACAGCACCGCTGTGGAGACACCCAGGCAACAGCTCCACACCCTCTTTCCCATCCTTTTCACGTTCTCTCACTTTCCCTCTGCTTTTCCTCAACCAGCAGAGCTTCATTCACTCCACAAGCCAAGCAGGGTCTGGTCACCATCCTAAAAAGGAATTCTGATAATAACAAAAGCAGAGAATGTTGTATTTTAGACAGAAGAGTAATGCAGTATATCCAAGGGCTTTAGCTTAGAATAGTAGCACTCTTTTACTGCTGGACATCCTACTTCAGTTTAGCTATTTACATTTTCTTTTAAATGCGCAAAAATGAAGTATACTACATTTTCTAAACTATTCAAATGCAATGCACTGTATATTCCCATCCAATAAACAGAAGTTTACTTTGCACAAAAGAGATCCTTTTACTGGAATTAAGTACACAGTTTGTGAATCTATCAAACACTGAGCAGTTATGCAGCTTAAAGAATGCAAGGTACCACAAGTTCTTGTGTGCCAGAGACCACAATAAGAGGGTCTTCTGTATTCCAGTTGCTGGAACAAAACAAACGCACCACAAACACTCATCCTACAATCTGAAGCACAAAATCTAACTTTTGGCATCATGATAGAAAAAATGCATGAATATCATCTGGCTTCTGGCAAGACACCTGACTCTCACACTAAGCAAGCCAGCACAAGCTCCAGCCTTAACTTCACATGAAGCACACATTGTTGAGTGCTTTAAACAGTTATACAGTCATGCTTTTCTAAATATCTAAACATGCTTTTTCTGAGTTCTAAAATCAGATTTTAAAAACAGTTCAAAGCACCCCAACTATCTCAGATGTTAGTGAACGTGTTACTCCCGGTCTGATTCCCATCTGATCCATGCAGTGAAGCGAAACCACTGGCTACCCTTTGCTGGATCACATTGCCCACACAGTGATTTCCATCTCATCTGGCAGAACAGGTGGCTGCTCCCTAGCGGCTATAAACACAGAAATCTCTGATCCAAGCAGAGATCAGGCATAGCAATGCAAGAGAGTGAGCTACTTGGCAGCAGTGTAACACAGTGGCAGGTTGCTCACCTGTGTCCCTTCTCTAGCGCAGCATGAAGCACAGAATAAGGTTTTCCAAACCAGAGCCATATTTCTGCATAGATAAATGTTATCAGTTATCACTCCACTCCAACATTACCCACATAAACTCAGCCTCCTCCATTATAGAAATTCAATCTACTGTACAGGCAAACAAAACAACACAAGAGGTGACAGGTCTACTGCCAAGTCCTCAATGGCTACACTTATTTCAAGGAACATATATAACTGTTTGATTTTAAAATCAACCAATTTAGCTAGCCAATACGCCAACTAGCCAGCTAGCAATCGTTAGGTAACACAGGCTTCCAATAAAGCGTTACAATGCCAACTAAGTTAGGTTAAAAAAAAACTCTGTTAGCTAACTGTTTTAATTAATCTGTCAGCTCTTAGCTAACTAGCTACAGCTTTCCACTGAGTTACTAGGCTGCAATCAGCTGCCAGGTATTTTGTTTTTATCGAAGCCGCCGCCAGACGATCTGAGCAAGACGTCAGAAATAACGTTAGTTAACGCTAGTAAGCTAGGTTAGCTAAGAGCTAGCTTGCTAACTAATACTAGCTGCCTGACTACTCCTAACCCAAAAGAAAAGCGAAATATTACATTTTATATTCAGGCTAACGTACTCGTTACAGCGAATACATTAAGGGTGAACCACAGCAAACTTATTAGCTAACGTTAGCTTTCCTGTTGAGGATCCGCTTTCATGTCAGAAAAAGGCGACGTGTTCAGTCACAAGTCACCCGGCTGGCAAACATTTAACACTGAACCGCATGAGCTGTTTCCGTGTCTGGCTGTCTTGCTTAAGCTCTCATCAAGAAGAAATACTCACCATGCGGACACAACGGCTATTCTGTAGTCGCCAAGATGACACAATAAACACACATAACCCGAAAGTGTCGATTTTAGTGGAGTCTGTCTGACTGAGCCCAGTGCTGGAAAACCCCAGTCGAGCAGATCCAGTGATGTGTGGGCGATGAAATGTGTGGCGTCATTAGATCTACACTACTACCACCTCCTCCCACTCTCACTCCTCCTCCTCCTACAGTCCAAATTCCTCTTCTGCTTGTAAGCTGTTATTTCCTACTAATTCCGTAATTCTATGTTACAATTAACTGCCTAGTTATTTATTTTGGCTATTTTATATTAGTGCATTCAGAGATGGATAGTGATTATACTCACTCAAATAAAAAACAATGGATATGTACCTTCCTGATATTTTCAAATTATAATACTTTTACTCCTATTTGAGTATGTGTGTGAGGAAGCTAATGATTTTTTACATAGTGTTACGGTCAATCTTAATGTTTAATGTTACATTTTAGTCATTAACTTTAACTCATTTTTGCATCATTTCATTCTGTCACGTTGGTGACAGCATCTGTACAGCTGTGCTGCTCCTCATGGCTCCTTAACATTTTATTTTAAACTAAAAAGAAAAGAATAGGGCCTAACAAACTTCACTTCCTCTGCTGATAGGTGCTGAATGCCCTCTGAAGTTCTGCTACAGTTCTAATTTTTAATTACTAAAAGGGGAATTCCACTGATTTTCTAAAATTTCGGCACAATTTGATCATTAAAGTGTAAACAAAGGCACTCAGAGTGGTCTGATGTGAAATGGCTCGTTATAGTGAAACCAACTTGTATTTCTTTACAGTGGTGGTGATGTGAACCAGAGGTAACGATATCTACAATGCAAATATCATACATAACATTTTATTTACTATAAAAATAAAACAAGCAGTGAACCTCCACATGTCTTCTGAGTTTTTATGTATAATACTGATAATGGAAAATTAGTATTAGATCAGAAAAAATATAACATGTTTTAGAGCAAAAGTTTTTCATGAAACTATCGTAAAACAACATCTCTGGCAGCAAATTCATAACGATTACATAAAACAACTTTCTGTGAGAGAGCTTTTAGAGGCATTAAACACTTCCGACGTCTGGTTCCTATCACCACCACTGTCAACAATTCTAACTGGCAAGCGTCTCTTGAACCAACGATTTGACATCAAACCACTCTGAATGAGTCTGTTCATATCTTAATGATGTAATTATGCAGAAATTCAGAAAGATCTGTGGATTTCCTCTTAAGCAGTTTTTTAAGCTGGTACTTTTGTGCTTCTGTTTTTTGGAAACATACTTTTACTCCTACTTGAGTCATTACTTCATTGAAGTAACAATATTTTTACCCGAGTATATTTTACCTGAGAGTTTAGCCTGCTTTACCCACCTGTGACTGTAGGCCTGCTATCTCCAAAAAAAGGAACTAAATAACTTCCTTCCAGTTGCTTCCTTTTTTACTAGCTAGCTGCACATATGTCAGTGTTAATGATAAAACATTTCAAGGTCTCCTCTGTCACTATACTTCTTACTTCAGGATCCCAGTCCTGAGTACCCTATACTGCGCGTTTGAGGATTTTCTGTCATCTAACAAACCTGATTCAACATATTAAGTACATCGTCCCTGAATAAATAAACAAAGTGACACAAATGAAGACTAACTAATACATATATTATATAACAGTTTTGTTAACAAAAGGAGACAGTTTATCTAGGTCAAAGGTCAAAATACTAAAATTCACATATGATACTAATAAAACAAGCAGCAATAAAACACATTCACTCTCTGAAATAGAGGAACCTACAGAGGCTGCAGTCTGCTTCTCTAATAGCTTCATGAAAGAAAGAAAGAAAGAAAGAAAGAAAGAAAGAAAGTAGATAGAAAATAAATAACATATTCAGGCAGAGGAACAGGATTCTAATGTGTGGCACAGATTGAAGATTGAACCTAAAAGTGGTGCCCGACTCAAAGCTGCTGACTGTGTGAAATTAGGCTAGCACACATAAACTAATCCATCAACAACTAATATAGGATTAATGAGCCTTTAGCCATGAGCCACATAATGTGAAATACTAAAACTACAGCTCTTCCTTAGAGACTGTTGCTGTGATTTTGGCTAAACACAAAAACCTGTACTCATTCAGTTGTAATGGAAACAATATGGTAGTTTTGACGACTACCCCCAATTGGCTTCTAAAAACACTTTAAGGTCAGCCTACAGAAGTCCCTGTTTAGCCCAGTGACACCTCTTCTAGAAACAGGTTCCTAACGCGTGGCCATGCAAAGTGTGGGAACAAGATGATTATGTCATTCACACATCTAAGTTGCGACCATGACATCTCATTCCTACAATTACTAAATTGTGCCCACGCATTAAGATCCTGTTCCCATGTCTTCCCTCATAGAAAAACAGCACATATTGTCTACACATAAGTTGTGTTTTGCATGCTGGTATGCTGGTCAACCAACATGACCATGCAGGGTGTCCAGCTAAACCAGCACCAGACCAGCACTAGAGCAGCATAAACCAGCTTAGACCAGCATAGAATACATCCATACTGTTTTGTTCAGCAGGGTTAGTAAGTTGTGATCATGCATTATTATTTTCATTAAGAAGGGACGCCACCAGTGGGGCCTCTGAAAGAAAGAAAAGACGAAAGAAAGAAAGAAAATAACATATTCAGGCATAGGAACACAATCCTAATGTGTGCCACAGATTGAAGACTGAACCTGAAAGTGGTGCCCGACTCAAAGCTGCTGACTGTGTGAAATCAGGCTAGCGCACATAAGCTAACCCATCAGCAACTAACACAGGATTAATGAGCCTTTAGCCATGAGCCACATTATGTGAAATACTAAAACTACAGCTCTTCCTTAGAGACTGTTGCTGTGATTTTGTCCAAACACAAAAACCTGTACTCATTCAGTTATAATGAAAACAATATGCTAGTTTTGACATCTACACTCATGTGGCTTCTAAAAACACTTTAAGGTCAGCCTACAGAAGTCCGTTTAGCCCAGTGACACCTCTTCTAGAAACGGGTTCCTAACGCGTGGCCATGCAAAGTGTGGGAACAAGATGATTATGTCATTCACACATCTAAGTTGCGACCATGACATCTCATTCCTACAATTACTAAATTGTGCCCACGCATTAAGATCCTGTTCCCATGTCTTCCCTCATAGAAAAACAGCACATATTGTCTACACATAAGTTGTGTTTTGGATGCTGGTATGCTGGTCAACCAACATGACCATGCAGGGTGTCCAGCTAAACCAGCACCAGACCAGCACTAGAGCAGCATAAACCAGCTTAGACCAGCATAGAATACATCCATACTGTTTTGTTCAGCAGGGTTAGTAAGTTGTGATCATGCATTATTATTATTTTCATTAAGAAGGGACGCCACCAGTGGGGCCTCTGTATGAAAGAAAGAAAGAAGGAAAGAAAGAATGAAAGAAAGAAAGAAAGAAAGAATGAAAGAAAGGAAGAAAGAAAGAAAATATTCAGGCATAGGAATGGGATCTTGATGTGTGTTATACATTGAAGACTGAACCTGAAAGTGGTGCCTGACTCAAAGCTGATGACTGTGTGAAATCAGGCTAGGACACATAAGCTACCTCATCAACAACTAATACAGGATTAATGAGCCTTTAGCTCTGAGCACACATTATGTGAAATACTAAAACGGCAGTTCTTCCTTGGAGACTGTTGCTGTGATTTTGTCCAAACACAAAAACATGTACTCATTCAGTTTTCATAAGCTTCTAAAAACATTTTGAGGTCGGCCTACAGAAGCCTTACTAAATTGTGCCCACGCTTTAAGATCCTGTTCACATGTCTTCCCTCATAGAAAAACAGCACATATTGTCTACACATATGTTGTGTTTTGGATGCTGGTATGCTGCTTAACCAACATCACAATGCAGGGTGTCCAGCTAAACCAGCACCAGAGCAGCACTAGAGCAGCTTAAACCAGCTTAGACCAGCATAGAATACATCCATACAGTTTTTTGTTTGTTTGTTTGTTTGTTTCAGCAGGGTTAGTAGTGGGGCCTCCATAGGAAAGAAAGAAAGAAAGAACTCAAAAAATGTTAATTACCACTTGTTTTTACAATTTTACTGAAACCTTAGAAAGAGGAACTACGGACAACACAAGTTATTTATGTTTCAGTAAATATATTGAAAAAGAAACGTACTAAACTTTGTGCAAGACACAGTTAAAGAACTTGTTATCTCGTCTTAAAGGCTTTGTAGAGTCTGTAGAGTGAAGTGAACTGTCATTTTACCGGCACCTAGTGGTTGTCGGTGGAAATGGGAACTCAACTCTTCATGCTGTGCTCTGTGCTGGTATTTGTTCTCCAAAAGGCAAAAAGACCATTATAGTCTATATAACTAGCCCATAAATACAGGTAAATAAGCTAGAAAGTGGAAGGAGAGAGAGAGAGAGAGAGAGAGAGAGAGAGAGAGAGAGAGAGAGAGAGAGAGAGAGAGAGAGAGAGAGAGAGAGCGAGCGAGCTTATACAGGCATAGGAAGACTGAACCTGTAGGTGGCGCCCGACTCAAAGCTGCTGAGTGAATTCAGGCTAACACACACAAGCTAACGCACAAACAACTAATACAGGATTCATTAGAGCCAGGTGTTCACTTTACGTGAAATACTACAAAATCAGCTCTTTCTTGAAGGTTTCTGTGATTTTGGCTAAACACATAAACCTTTACTCCCTCAGTTATAATGGAAACAGTCAGTTAAGCTGCTGTAACTTTAACATCTCCACTTCTGTGTGTTTCTGAAAACCCTGTGAGATGCAGAAGCCCTTGTTTGGAGCGGTGACGCCTCTTCTGTGTGTGAGAACACGCTCTGTTGGAGGGCGTGGACTATAAGCGGACCTCATGAATATTCATAAATGGGCGTGTCCTCACCTGGGACAGTGAACCGCATGTGCGTTACATAGCGGGCTGTTTCTGTGGGATTCAGAGAGACTAGCGCGGTTTCTTCACTCTAAACAAAGACTAACCCGGACACGCGCTGCACTGTCCGTGTCTGCCGTGCGGATGCAGCCTGTCAGGTACAGTGACTATAGATCTTTCAGTCGTGTGTAGTTTCTTTC